ATATGGATGATAGCCTGCTCTGATGATGCCAATTATATGACGGACGTTTACGTCGGAATCGAAGGAGCTCGTCCAGTAAACAGCGTCAACAAGAATGCTCCAGTAAAGCTAATTTACACATTTAGATGCGGTCAAAATGAATCCATCGTAGTCTTCTGGTGGAATCGACCTTTGAACCTATCTATCAAACACTTTCACACGAAATAGAAGTGATTTAAAGAATGATAACGATGGTGCTGTGATATGATGTGACGGACAAAAACCTAATACATTTTCAGAAATGGGTTGACCTTGTTGTCGCAACTTGGTCCTGTTGTCAGGGGGACTTAGTAGAACGCATCTAGTCCGAAGTCGTCTGTCATAGTAGTTGTCATGATTCCCAGCATCAGACAGTGGACTTGGTACATTCTCAAACGCTTCGCCGGCATTGTAGTCGGCGAGTGGAATGTAAACAAGTGAGAAGTTGTAATAGGGCGGCAGTGGGATAAGAGGGTAAAGAGTAGATAGATAGGCCAGGACAGAAAGAGGAGTGAGAGTGTAACCGTTTTCGGCAGAACGTTTGTCGAAGGGTTGGCTTCACTTGTCTCTTTGACAAGTTCGTATCTTGGTGCGGCAAATGGCAAAACCCACTGATGATGCCGAATATGATGCCGGCGAAACGTTTGAGAATGTACCAAGTCCACTGTCTGATTCTGGGAAGCATGACAACTACTATGGCAGACGACTTCGGACTAGGTGCGTTCTACTGTCTCCCTGACAACAGGACCAAATTACGACAACAAGGTCAACCCATCTCTATAAATCGAACGGAGACTGAGACCATACCAGAGGCCACAACATCTTGATCTTCATATCTTCAACTAATACATTTTCACCAGAATTAAAGAAGATTGCTTCAGAATAGCGTTGGCAAGAATTTTTCAATAAAGCCAATCGGAAGCTGGTCATGCGGAATTCACCATCGTTTTCTGATGAGATCGAACTTCGAATCTTTTTATTAAACACTTTTGCTCGAAATGTAAGTGAGCTCGACAATTACAGACCAAGAAATTCCTCGAAACCCAACTATTTTTGCATAAATATCGTACCTCGTGTTTTGCTAACTGGTAGAATTATCTAAACAAACAGAAAAGCCGAATTTGTCCTAGCTCTTAACTCTTTTGCCTATCCTCGCATTTACACTGTGGCATAAAATAAAATAAATCTTGAATAAGGCCTGCCATTCACCATAAGTCGAATTGAGTGAATACAACTATCACTTAAGATCTGATAGCTTTTGACATTTAATTACTTTGAATATAATTAAAGTAGTCGATTGGGATAGCAAATACAAGACTACCTCATCAAAAATCACACTACGAAATGTGGCATACAAGAAGCTTAGCTGGCCTGTGACCCACGAACACCTATGGGGATATGACGTGGTGGTAAAATGTAGAAAGTATACTCTGAACTGCCAGAATTCAGACTTGGTTTCCTGATTCGCGTATTGATGCGACCCAGGCGAGGTCGAAAATGCAGTTCAGTCAAGCTTGGATGAGAATACGTTTTTGGGAGGTAAGATTAAGTGAAATTTAACAGCATTTTGGGATTTATTTAAATGATTGTGCGAAAATTCAATTACCACTCCTTCATCACCTGAAGCTAACTGGGGCGAATACAGTTCTACTGGTGGTTTCGAAACCCATACAATAAGAATATACAATATAGAATACAAATCATGACTTTATCACTTGACTCATTTGTACCTCCATCCTGAAATTGTATTTTCCTCCTGTCAGCTGTTACGAGGTTCGAATGCCGAACATATTCATCGGTGAACAAGTGGTTTCACCTCCTTGAAAGATGTCCTCCGAGCGCAAACTCAACTCGACTGCTACCTGCACAAAAATTCACCAAATGCGTGAGTTTATCGGGAGCCAGTTGAGTGTGCGCTCAAGACTTGTTCCGTAGCCCACGGCCCCAAAAGTGGATGACATTCCTCCATCTTGTAAGATATGTAGCGAAATTGGTTGCCTTCAATCTGTGAAAATTAGCGTAAATCAGAGTGTCGTGCTCTGACGATGTCCTTCACATGGCAGACGAACTGTCTGTCAACAAGGACTCATTGATGCCGCGGGACGGCGAGCCGAGGACTTATTCGCACAAATCTACAGTCACATCGCTTCCGGTGAGTCAGGCCTACGAATTATTTGCACACGGCTCCTTAAACAAAATTAAAAGTACTCCACCTGCTACTCTGCCATCATGTCTGCACCCCTTACGCCTACGTCGTTGTGGCCAGGTTACAAAGAAACCGGAGCGATTTGTGTTGAAGTCTTCAATCCGGAAGAAAGCGAACTCTTTAAGGAGACGTCAGAGTGCAAGTAACGGGAGAAATTACATCTCTCAACTTTGAGCCACCAAGTGGCCATTATTAAAGCTCTGCTTTGTTGGTTCTGATGAAAGGTGACAATAGGCGACCGGCAAAAGCATCCCAAAGCCTCAACGGTATCCTCGAGCATCTCCCTCATTCGGTTGTCGTCACGTCTACTATCAGCCGAAGCGACAGTAGGCGAGTTAATTTATTATGAAAAGAACTGCTTATGACAAAGTCAAAATTTCCGCTTTTCGGCTGGCCCCGTTTCCGGACACTGTCTCGTCTTTTAGGCCTCGCAGCCAATCAGCCCAGCCGAGCCTCGATTCCTGCAGCCTCGCCCTTGAAACTCGACTCAGTTCAGTTGAGACTATCGATCGGAGACCCGGCCAGCTGGCTCTTCTATCCACCTCTCTTCGTTCGTCACGTTTGTGCACACACTCCACTCAGGCCGGAAGCTGTACGTGGCTCATCCCATATCGCGAACAGTCTCGATCGATCCGTGCATTCGAAAGGCTACCCAATCAGCAGCACTGGAAAGTGAGGACTGAGCGCTCTCGCCTCAAAGCCGCCATTGACTCGACGAGATTGGCTTCTTGTTCAGCCGCCCACTTTATGTTGTCCTTTTCATACATCGTTTCTCTGACGTCATCTTTGCTGAGTGTCTGATTCTGGATAATATTTATGATCCAGAGCATAATGATAGGTACCTGGTTTTGCTTTTATCTTTTAAACATTTAATAATGCAATTATTTACTACTCAAAAATCTGAATCAAATGTCACATGTAATTCTAATTTTCCTTTCTCAAGAAAAGTTGCCTTCAAAGGATTCACGAATTGGCCTCATCAAAAATAGAAGTAGACTCGCCGTACAGTTGTGACTTTTGAACCATGCGAATCAGCCCTTGGCACATCCTCCTGTCATCCGGAACCATCTGCTCTAGATCTTCAACGATCCCTCCATGACTGACATCATCAGATCGTGAAAGCCCGCTCTATTGACTGTCATCAATCACTCAGACGAACTCAGCACGAATGGATCAGGCCTGAAGGATGGGGCACCAAGGAATTCTTCATATAATTTACAATTCACGACTGCTCCTTTGAAGAATAGCTGCACTCACTCTGGTCGCATATAAAGTAATAAAGGATTTAAGGTTCTATTTATTCAAAGTTAGATTCGTAGGCCTCTTAAATAGCATTCCCATCAAACTTGTCTAGGTCTCACCGGCACCTCAACGGAAATCGAACCTGGTTTGTGATAATGCCGCGAATGATTTCGACATGTTACAAGCACATAACTTTCCATTTTCAAGGAAAAGTTGCCTGGAAGAAATTTTTGAGATGGTCTCATCGTAAACTAAAAGAGGTCTGAAAAAGTCC